ACTTGGGTCAATAGAAGCAAACCATTCTCTCTCTCCCTCCCTCTCTCTTTTTTCCAGGAACTTTTTAAATGTTCGTTCTTCTTTTGAGATTTAATTTGGAAGTCATGGAAACTACCTATTATCTGATTTTAGTGTTGCGGCAAAACAGGCAGAGAGGGTAATCCTTGAATTAAACAGGCTTCCCCCCTCCCCTGGCTTTTCTAAGCTGACCACACACAATCTACAAGAGAATTTTGTGTCTTCATGCTGAGAAAACAATAGGGAGTCATCCTTCTCTTGAATAAGATCAGCTAGTCTGAAGTCAGAGAAGGGTTTTTTTCTTCTTTTTTGTAACGTTTAATTTACAAATGGATCTTAGCGATAAGAAAAGGGAGCAACCAGTGATAACAAACATGAAATGAAAGGCTTTTTCTAATGAAAGGTTCAGAGCTATCTGTTAAACAATTGACAACAGTTAAAAGCAAATAGTTTTGATATGCACTCAGACTGGGGAAGATTGCATAGGGTTATCAACCTTAACAACCCGGATTGATTTCTTATTGTATAGAAACATTTTCTCTTAACAGCTCTTCTTCTTCGCCCCCTCCCCCTTTGATGGTTCCCCCCCCTTTCCCAGAAATGTAAAGTTTTTAATGCTGCTTTTATAGATATGAGGTCATACTCTGATCTAATCTTCATGGTTGTAAAACTGCAATGCCTATGAGGAGTTGAAAGAACTTGTATATTCGCAGTGGAGCTACCCAGAGATTGGGAGAGTGTATGGTTGAAGTAATAGTGGGCATCAAAAAAAGGCAGCCTCGCACCAGATTCTAGGCATGGCCAGTTGGAACCCACTCTTATTGATGAGGGATCAAGCTCCACATCAATTTGGCCACATTCTGCATTCGGTGGGGTTGAATTTGGAGTTAAGATAAGGCTGAAAATGTGCCCGGCAGTGGCTGAAATATTTTTCACAACAAAATTCATAATACATAGAGGGAGGCTAATTAGGGTTTATGGCACAAACACAGTATACGAAAGAACCTTGCCGTCGTCAACTAAGCATCATAAGTAGGATTAGGCAACAAATGCTTGATTGTGGAAATATGAATATTATTCTTTGACAAGGGTTTTTCATTTTCTCTCTGACAAAGCAGTTTAAATGCAATAGAGTGAACTTTGGAAGGAGAAATGGTGTTTTGCAGAAGGATCAGAATTAGCTTGATGTTACGCTAGAACTCCAGTGCTTGCTTGCTTGTTTATTTATTGGTTCATGTCAACCTGAAGCTTGGGTGATACATTCTGCCCACCACCACCCCCTCCGATTCTTCCTTGTCAGCAGTTGATTGGGACCTTGAATGACTACAAATTAGTTTAGTGATGGGGCAACTGTCAAAGGTATCTTTGAATCGGTTGAAGATGAACAAGGTTGACGGGGAACTTGAGAGTCTAATGAGTCCTTCAAATGGTTGATTTGCCACTCGGTGGACAACTAGGCAATAAGCTGTATGATACATTGGAAATCAATACTATGCTATGGAATTTCATTATACCCCAATGTCTTCAGTTCATACTATTTTATATTTTGATGGATTATGTGAAGGAAATGATCATCTAAGACATTGGCATCCATAAAAGCTTCCCCCTTGTGCGGTCTTAAAAATCAGTCAGGGGCAACCTTTGTGAAGTCACAGGATCGAGCCTCCTCCTTCTCTTCCTCCTCCTCCTCAGTGTAATTGGCCAGTTTGGATTATTTTGGTGCAGCAGAAGGAATGTAAGGGATTCAACAGCAGAGTACACTAAAATTACTTTGAGAAAGGGAAATATACAATGCCAAGCCTATCAGGTTCTTCCTCAGGCCATGAAGCCCTAAGAATCCTTACCCAGCCTAGTGCTCTTGAGATGTTTGGATCACTATACTCAGCATCCACAACTATGATGGCATGTGGCTAGGACTGGTGGGTGTTGTAGTCCAAAACATCCAGATGGCAATGGGCTGGAGAAGGCATCCAGGTGCTCAGTGGTAATAACCTACAGATTAGGAAGAGGAAGAGAACCAAATTCCTAGCTGACATTTTTGGCACTCTGGCGTCATTATGGACTGATACACACTCTTCTACTGTCCTACCCATTTCTGCCTTGAACACGTATACAATTGCAGCCTAAATAATCCATTGGATCTTGAAGTTCTTCAGTTTTTGGGATTCTCAGCTCAAATGGTATCAAGGTATTTTTTAAATGTCTGTTTTAGGATAAAAAGTTTCGACAGGTGCCTTTGAGATAAAGCATGCTATAGAAGTGCGTTTTGTGTCAAAGAATCACTTTCAAAAGTCCAAGGTTAAATAGGAATTTTTATACAAGGGGAAAAAGGAAAGGAAAAGAAAACCCAGAGATGGATGTGAAAGAGGGGGGAAAGGACTTATGAATGAATGCATGTTTGTGAAATGGAAATAGGCTAAAAATGTATGGATCCTTCTGCCCTTGTTTATCCATCACTGAAGGCTGTTCTCCACCTGCTAAGCACTGTATATTTCTCTCTGCAATAGCCTTTCTTTACTTTTGAAACCAAGTGGTGTTTGTTCCTTTGGCTAAAGACGTGGGTTGGAGGCTGAGGGATGTCTGGCTAGTACCTGTGTGACCCTTTAGTGCCCACGTACATGGATATTATATTTTGTCATTGTTGTTATATTTATTTCTGTTCTACCTATTCCCAGAGCAGGGAATAAAAGACAGCAAATTTTAAACACATACTATTAAAACATGAATAGAAATATACAGAAGCTAAAACATATAATGGAATACAGCTAGAATATTAGCTTCATATAAAATAACAAATAATATATATAACAAAATAATAAATGGCAATAAAAACAACATAGGCTACAGAGATAGTGCAACACAATCTGACAGGCTGAGACTATTCCCAAAGGCCTGCTGGAACAGATAAGTTTTTGCTTGCCTCCAAAGCATGACAATCTAGCCCCCTGGGGAGGAAGTTCCAAAGCATGGGCAACTACCAAAAGAGCCTCTCCCCTTGTTCCCAGCAAGCATACCTGTGAAGGAGGTGGAACCAAGAGGACACCCTTTCCTAAGATCTCACAGCAGGGACAGGTTCCTAGGAGAGAACACAGCCTTTCCGATAGCCTGAACCCTTCTAGGGCTTTGAGGTTGTAACTAGCATGTCGAATTGTGCCTGGAAAAAGCCTGGGAGCCAGTAAAGCTGTTTTATATGGTCCCTGAAACCAGTCCCAGTCCTCAGCCTGCCAGCAGCTTGCAGAACCAGCTAGTGCTTCTTTAGAGGCAGCTTCACTAGCTCCTGAGTAATCCCAACTAGATGCAACGAAGGTATGTGTCTCTTGGCCAGACGGGATAGCTCCAGGAATAGACCTGGCTGGCAAACTAGTTTTAGCTGTCCAAATGCATTTCTGGCCACTGCCAAAAACCTGGTCAGTCAGGTTCAGGGTTGAAGCCAGAAATGCACCCAGATGGCAGACCTGTGTCTTCAGGGCGAAGGTGATCACATCTGGCACAGGTGGAATCCCCATGCCTTGACCCATTTCCTGACTGGCCAGGAGCACCTCTGTCTTGTCTAGATTAAGCTTCAATCTGTTTGCCCACATCCAATCTTTTACAGCACTGATTTAGCACCAGAGCAGCTTCCCTGGAAAGAGATGGGCAGGTGAAATAGAGTTTGGTGTCCTCAGCATACTGGTCATATTGAACCCCAAAACTCCATACAACCAACATCTTCATAGAGATGTTCAATTCTTTGGAGGACAGAACAGAAGCTTGAACTGCCAGGGAGTCAAACAGGACCACTTTCTGACTCTGCCCCTCCAGGAAGGAATGGGGTCACAGGACACTTTTTCCACTTCCCATCCCAGCAAAGCTGCCAAGAAAGATACCTTGGTCACTGGTGTCAAAAGCTGCTGAGATGTCCAGAAGAAGGGACAGGGATGCAATCCCTCTGCCATGGTAATCTGCCAAGGTGACGAAAGCAGTTTTTGTCACATAACCTGGTCTAAAGCCAGACTGAAATAGAATTCAGTGCACCGGTGTCAGCTGGAATGCATTGCTTCTCCACCCAGAGACTTAACTTCAGCAGATAACCTAGGAGAGACATGCAGTGACTATAAGTCACACTTATGCAGTGGGGAAGCATGAACTCGACCTTGGGCCAAAGGCCAAGGGGAACCCCAGATGAGTGGCAGGAGGTATAGGAATGAGAAATGAACTTGGCACTGGGATCTGTGCTGGAGATCAGCCTGCATTTTCTTAATTTGAAAGACGTTTTACAGCCCAGGAGGCCATGTACCTGACAACAAACAGATGGTTGCGTTGCTATTGCTAAATGGTCATGTTATTAGAAATACTTTCCCTTTTTCCTGCAAGAGTAAAGGCATGTATCCCCATGAAACACAATTTAGGGCAGAATCCTGTGCATATTTAGACATGAAAAAGTCCTACAGCTTCCAGCTGGCCCTAGCCAACACGCATGGCATTGCACCTTGAGGCACAGTCACAGTGGTACTATGATTAAGATGACTTTAAAATGCACAGCTGCACATGCTCCAAATAGTTCCTTTGGGAGAGGCTTCTTGGTTGTTTCCTCTGATGGATTAGGAAGTTAGAAGGAGTTAGAAAGCATGGGATGGTGGTGAAGACTAGAAGGGAAGAGGAAAACCCCATCCTCACCCACAACTTTAAGGCCATTAAGTCTAGCTCCATAATGTTCTGGTTACACCAGTCCATAGGTGTGCACTAATGAACTTTTTTCAAAGGATGCGAGAAATAGGGATCACTGATTACCTGAGACTGGATAATGGGAAATCAGGTTTGTGCCTAGTTAAAACGAAAGACTCGAGTCAAAGGGGGGAAGTGTTCATCTGGGTGTGTCGGTCTTTGTGCAAGAGATGTGCTCTGTGAGTCGGAAGACAGCCCTTTCTAGAGACCAGTTTGCGTTTCTGTTCAGTTGCTAATCTTGCTCTTTTCTCCCCCTCCCCCTTGCCTTGATGTTTTAGGAGACATGCAGAAGGGCCAAACAAATCGAACCACCAAGGCAAAGGATGCCCACATCTGTGGCAGATGCTGTGCCGAGTTCTTTGAACTTTCAGATCTCCTGCAACACAAGAAGAACTGTACTAAAAATCAATTAGTTTTAATTGTGAATGAAAATCCCGTTCGTTCTTCTGAAGCCTTCCCTCCCAGCTCCCCTACTGATAATCTCGATGAACAGAGGAATGACACAGTGAATAACATGGATCAAGTAGACCGCAGCGACCTTTCCGAGCAGAACAACAGACTTGAGAAGGAAGACTCCATGGACGTGGAGGCTCCGGGTGTTAACAAGAGCACTAGCGGTAGTCCCCCGAATGTCGACAATAGTAATGCAAGCAGTAACTGTTCCACAATGGGTACCTCAGCTATAACAACCTCTCTACCTCAACTAGGGGATCTGACCATGCTAGGCAACTTCTCGATGATCAACAGCAACGTCATCATCGAAAACCTCCAGAGCACAAAAGTGGCGGTCGCGCAGTTCTCCCAGGAAGCCCGGTGCAACGGCGCCTCAGCCACCAAGCTGGCCGTCCCTGCCCTGATGGAGCAGCTCCTTGCTCTGCAGCAGCAACAGATCCACCAGCTGCAACTGATAGAACAAATCCGTCACCAAATCTTATTGCTGGCTTCCCAGAACGCGGACCTGCCGGCCCCTCCCAGCCCATCGCAGAGTACATTGCGAACATCGGCCAACCCCTTGTCCACGTTAAGTTCCCATTTGTCCCAGCAGCTGGCCGCGGCGGCCGGCTTAGCCCAGAGCCTAGCGAGTCAGTCTGCCAACATCAGTGGTGTGAAACAGCTCCCCCCTCTACAGCTACCTCAGAGCAATCCTGGCAACACTCTGGCTCCATCCAGTAGCGGCTCATCTCCAAATATGAACCCATCTGCAGCAGCAATTGTGACACCGTCCTCCGACAAAGTGGCTACAAATGCTGGTGGCCCGCAGCTCAGCCACCCGCCAGTGACCGCGTCTCCCTCCCCTGTTTTTGCAATAAGCAGTTTATTAAGCCCTGTATCAAACCCTCTTCTACCTCAACCCACCCCTAGCAACTCTGTGTTCCCCAATCCGTTGTCCAGTCTTGGAACACCTGCGGAGGACTTAAACTCACTGGCTGCTCTGGCCCAGCAGAGGAAAAATAAGCCCCCCAGCCTGGCCACCTTTGAAGCAAAAAGTTCTTCCGACGAAGCATTCTTTAAGCATAAATGCAGGTTCTGTGCGAAAGTGTTTGGGAGCGACAGTGCCTTGCAGATCCATTTACGTTCTCATACTGGGGAGAGGCCGTTTAAATGCAACATCTGTGGAAACCGGTTTTCCACCAAGGGGAACTTAAAGGTCCACTTTCAACGTCATAAAGAAAAATACCCCCACATTCAGATGAACCCATACCCGGTGCCAGAGCATTTGGACAACATTCCCACGAGTACAGGGATCCCGTATGGAATGTCAATACCCCCAGAAAAACCTGTAACAAGCTGGCTGGACAGCAAGCCAGTGTTGTCCACTTTGACCACATCCGTTGGCCTACCTCTCCCACCCACCCTTCCAAGCTTGACTCCTTTCATCAAAACAGAGGAGCCTCAACCAATTCCCATCACTCATCCATCTTCTAGCCCTCCGTGTTCTGTCAAAAGCGACTCGGGCTCCATTGATCCTGCTGGGAGAAACACAAATGGCCACTTAGCTGAAGGGGAGGGGGGTGCTTTGCTGTCCTCCAATGACAAAGCTGAAGAGAGCACTCAGATGTCCAATGCCTCTGCTAGTCTGGACAATTCCATCACTTCCCCAGCAGCAGAGTTGGGTTCCAACAGTGTGGTCAGTTTCACCAACCCGCTGATGCCTCTCATGTCTGAGCAATTTAAGGCCAAGTTTCCCTTTGGAGGGCTGCTGGACGTAACGCCAGCCTCGGAGACCTCCAAGCTGCAGCAGCTGGTGGAAAACATAGATAAAAAGGCAACTGATCCCAATGAGTGTATCATTTGCCACCGAGTTCTGAGTTGCCAGAGCGCTTTGAAAATGCACTACCGCACGCACACCGGTGAAAGGCCCTTTAAGTGCAAAATCTGCGGCCGCGCCTTCACGACGAAGGGGAATCTGAAGACCCATTACAGCGTCCACCGTGCCATGCCTCCCCTGAGAGTGCAACATTCCTGCCCCATTTGCCAGAAGAAGTTCACGAATGCTGTTGTGCTGCAGCAACACATCCGAATGCACATGGGTGGCCAGATACCCAACACACCTGTGACGGAGAACTATCCCGAGTCCATGGAGTCTGACACGGGGTCTTTTGATGAGAAGAACTTTGATGACCTGGATAACTTCTCAGATGAGAACTTGGAAGACTGTCCTGACAGCAGTGTGCCGGATACACCTAAATCCGCTGATGCATCTCAAGATAGTTTATCTTCTTCCCCATTGCCACCAGAAATGTCAAGTATTGCTGCTTTAGAAAATCAGATGAAGATGATCAATGCAGGGCTTGCTGAACAGCTGCAGGCAAGCTTAAAGTCTGTGGAGAATGGGTCGGTGGAAGGGGACATAATGACCAATGAGTCCTCCTCTGTTGGTGGCGATATGGAAAGCCAAAGTGCTGGAAGTCCTGCTGTCTCAGAGTCTACCTCTTCCATGCAGGCCTTGTCCCCGTCCAACAGCACGAATGAGTACCACAAACCCCCAAGTGTGGAGGAGAAACCACCAAGAAATTTATCAAGCGAGTTTGCCAATGGTTGGCCGCTGACCCTTGCAAATGGAGGTGCTTTGGACTTGACATCAGGCAACCCAGAGAAGCTGATTAAAGAAGAGTCCTTGAGCATGTTGTTTCCTTTTCGAGACAGAGGGAAACTTAAGAACACAGCGTGCGACATTTGTGGAAAAACGTTTGCTTGTCAGAGTGCCTTGGATATTCATTACAGGAGTCATACCAAAGAGAGACCATTTATTTGCACAGTTTGCAATCGTGGCTTTTCCACAAAGGGTAATTTGAAGCAGCATATGTTGACACATCAGATGCGAGACCTACCATCACAGCTCTTTGAACCCAATTCAAACGTTGGCCCCAATCAGAACTCTTCATCAGTGGTACCCACTAATTCACTCTCGTCTCTTATCAAGACTGAGGTCAATGGTTTTGTCCACTGCTCCCCTCCGGACAGTAAAGAGATCTCATCCAGCCTACTTCCTTCGGGGCCTTTGCCACCTTCAGCAACATCACCCATATTGCTTCCAGCTCTGCCCCGAAGGACACCGAAGCAGCACTACTGCAACACGTGTGGAAAAACATTTTCATCCTCCAGTGCTTTGCAAATCCACGAAAGAACACATACAGGAGAGAAGCCGTTTGCCTGCACTATATGTGGAAGAGCTTTCACAACAAAAGGAAACCTTAAGGTACTCCCCCCCCCCACATCTCTTGTGCCCTCCTTACAATGCTCTGTTTTGCTTTGGGTGCTGAATTGCAGTGGGTGAAAAGGCGTTGGTTAGTTTTTCATATTCTCTGCATTTTGTGTATCGGCATCAGGGAGCTGCATACGCCAGTGTCCCCATGTCTAGAAAGAGTGGTCAGGGTTCAATGACACTTGCATACAAGGGTATGTCTTTCATGTTCCATGGATTCTGCAGCATGAAACATGGGTGTATACCCAGCAGTCAGGCTGAGTGCATGGAGTGAGGGAGCTTCCTATAGATTATTCATTATCTACTCACTTTGGTTTGGGAAGAGATGATAAGAGCAAGGCAATCGGGATCATGCAGGGTATTGCCATGTGAATGTGTGGCACAGGTTTGACTTGGTTTTCCCAGCATCTCCCAAGCTTGACTTTTGGAAGATGCAAGGACACAACCTTAAAAAATGAGTGCTTGCCAAAAGTCCAGGTTCCTCCAGCCAGAAGATTCTTCATTCAGCTCTCCCTAGTAGACCATTGGTAGACTCTTTCCTTCTGCTTCTGATATTCCATGTAGCTCATCTCCTCTTACTTTCTTCTAACCTTTCCAAATAAGATCTTAGATCCTGATCAAGGACAGCATGCATATCAGAGCAAAGCATTCATGTATAAATCTGAATCATATAGTCAGCACTTGACTTTCAAGTTTAACTTTTGTGTGATTGCAGGTATTTACAGATTCCCCATTTAAAGGGCTCATGAAGTGAGCTATATACACAGCGTAGAAACAAATCCTCTATTTCACATCAGGTCACTCCACTGTGCTGCATGAAATTCCAAGTACTTGTGCGATCCTAGCTCTGATGGGTTAGGCTAGCTATTCTGTTTCATTGCCATATGTTGTAAAAGCAAATGCATGTAATTGAGAGAGCCTTCAAATGTGCACTCTTACCCTGTTGATGGGAAACACAATTTTTGTAGGTGATACAAAACCAGTAACGACTTTCAGGCATCAAATCTATGCATACGAAGCTTCCAAAGAGTGGTCAGTGCAGTTCCTTCTGGGACAACTTGAAAGGACCCTTTTAGAAGAGTGGGTGGCTAATATAGTTGTTGATATTACTGTGGAAGGGAATATAGAAACTTCAGGCCTCGTGTATAATGTAGCTATTGACCAAATGGTTCACAACCACACATTCAGTTCAAATTATTTGTTTCTAAACTGGCAACAAGCAAGGTGTTGGTAGCAGGAGAAACACAGCCTATTTCTGTTGAACCAGGTGAACATTTGCTGGTTATTCCTGATTTGAATGGGGGAATCCTATCCTTTTAGCCTTTACTGTGGTCTTTTGGAATGTGCTCTTATTTCTCAGGGTTGTGGCTCTCTTTTCTTCAGACAGTGATCTGAGGATTGCAAATGTGTGTTGCTGCAACGACTGACTCCAGTCAAGCTCCACAGTAAATTGGGTGCCACCTGCTCCTAACTAAACGTGGGACTGTCTTCTCCAACCTGCTGCTCTCTAGAAGTGCCATCGCTGAGAGGGAGATTCCAGGAATTGTAATCCGAAACTTCTGCAGGGCAGCAAGTGGGGGAAGTCTGGAGTATGCTGTACCACTGTGCATTTACGGATTACTTTTTTACATAATCCTTAGGAGCACTATCCCATTAAAGATGTGGGCTTTCTCTTACTTTGTGCAACCTGAAAAATGCTGCTGTTCTTATTTCCTTGACAATTGAAAACCTAATCCACCTTGGCTAAAACTTGATGTTTGCTTAGATTTGCATCCTGTCTCTTCTCCTTAGAAGAATTCCAATGTGATGTCCATAGGATTCCATAGGGACCTTGTGGTCCTTCATCCAAGTATTAACCAGATGCAAACCAATCTAGCTTTAGCAAGATGGGTGCATTGTGTGCTTTCAGACCATGCTGTGAGTCAACAAGGGGCTGAATAAAAGAAAAAGTGGTGTGTGAAAGGTGGCCGTCTATGGCCTACTGACCACCAGTTGAGTATCCCTGCCTAGATAACCAGACTAGATGATGGAGAAGTTCTGCCTAGACTTCTTAACCAACATAAGATGATGCTAACTAGCGTCTCTTTCAGGTTCACATGGGGACTCATATGTGGAACAGCACACCTGCCCGGCGAGGCAGACGGCTTTCTGTGGATGGCCCCATGACTTTCCTTGGAAGCAACCCTATAAAATTTCCAGACATGTTTCCAAAAGATTTGGCTGTGAGGTCGGGAAATGGAGACCCATCGAGCTTCTGGAATCAGTATGCCGCTGCACTTTCCAATGGCTTGGCCATGAAGACGAACGAGATCTCTGTCATTCAAAATGGTGGCATCCCCCCAATGGGCAATGGAAGCAGTTCTCCCATTAGCGGCTTGACAGGCAGCATGGAGAAACTCCAGAATTCAGAACCGAACGCACCTCTAGCTGGTCTGGAGAAAATGGCAAGCAGCGAGAACGGGACTAACTTCCGTTTTACGCGTTTTGTGGAAGACGGCAAAGAGATTGTAACGAATTAGGACTTACGTTACGAACATTCCTGCAGATATTGCAACCTAAGGTTGTGTGTGTGGGGTTTTTTTGTTTTGTTTTTTACTTTGGCAAATCAACAACACGGCGACATTAAAAAGACATCCTTTTGTACCCTGTTCGACATCTAGAGTTCTAAAACAGCTTATTTATTAGTGATATAACTTTCTTTTCGTTTTGTTTTTTGGCTTTGCAAACACATGCAAGCGTTATTTTTGGTCTTCTGTATTTTGAACTAAATACTAATTGACTTAGAGTGCTGTAACATTTATGGCAACGCAAGTCTGTTCAGCTACGTGGTTTCCTTCTGGCATTTAACTTATTTTCTATATCCAGTTTAACATAAACTTTGGGTGGTAATTCAATGACTCCATCGTTCATTTCTCACACATTCTCTCTCTCTCAGAACAAAATCTGTATATGTGTATTCTTCAATCCCATTGGAAATTTTTATCGGCAAATACGTTGTTTAATTCTCCAAACAAATTTGCGCAGAGGATTGAAAATGGGCCATATAAAATTGAACCATATGCATCCTTCACTACAGGCTCAGTTGTTTGTTTTTTGAGGGTTTTAATTTTTATTCTAAAATTTAAAAAAAAGTTCATTTTTTCAGGGGGGTAGATTTTAACTTTCTTTTCTCCCCTTTTGGAATTGTCCTTTGTATTGTGCTTTTTACTGGAGTCGTCTTAGATGTTAAAAAGTTTCTGTACAGTAAATAAGCACGCAGGTGATTAGAGGCGATCCAAAAGTGTTGTTTTTGGTAGTTTGGAAACCTTTTGCCTTGTAGGTATATTAACTTTAGGAGAAAAGTGCTGGACTTTGTGCTGCTATAAAAGGCATCTTGAACAAACTTCCATGGACAAATTTAGATGCTCTTGTACATATGACGAGAAATATTGAGTTCATTAAAATGTACATATGTTCCCAATGAGCTCAAACCCAACTTCTTGACCAAGAGAACAAGTATAGTGTTTGTTTATTTTGTACTAGGTATGGGGTGTGGGGAATATACTTTGGACTGTTACATGCACTTTCTTGGAAAACTGAAAGGAAATAGGCCCAGTTTCTTTTAACATTTAATACTTACTAACAGCAGAGATACTGTAATTTTATGCGAATAATCAAAATACATTTTTTTTCAACAGATGAAGCTGGGCTTTTGTGTGTGTGTGTGCATGCATGTGTGTTTGAAGAAGTGGGCTTATTCTGGGATTTCCTTGAATGTAGTCCATCAGTTGCATTTCCTGATTGCAATGTATGTTTTGTGTGTGTGTGTGTAAATACGCATATGTATGTATATTAGAGAGAGAGGTACACTCAAGTACACCTTTCCCCAACCATGTGCCCTGCAGTTGTATTGGGCTACAGTGTCCCTTAGCCAAGATCAGCAGGATCAATGGTCAGAGATGTTGGCATCTGGAGTCCCGAACATCTGGAGGGTGACAGATTGGGAAAAGATGTTTGGGAGTATTGGAAGGATGTCAATTATGTGGTCAGGTGCTATGAATGGGCTGCTGCATAAGCTTCATTGGGCCATTTCAGCAAGTCTACTGCTTTTTCTTTTTCTTGTTTGTTTCTTTAAAAAAACAATATTCCTGTGGTAAAGAAGAGCAAGTGGTCCTCTCTGGCCCAAGTCTAGTGTGTAGAGATGTCAACATCTGCTGAGACGGCAAATACGTTTTCCTCAATTTCTTTTTGAAGTTTTGTGTTGTTTGCTTCCATATGGGGAAAAAACACACACATCTGAGCAAGGTGCATGTGGGAGAAAAGCTTCTATGAACGAAGTCCTCTTCTTCAGTGAGTGAATGAGCAAACAAAGAGGAAGTAGTTCCCCTGGGCTTTCAGAACTTTTGGGAATATTGCATCTCCAGTGATTCAGCAGGCAAACTTCCTTGTCTCCCCTCTTGCCTGCACCCCTGAATGCAGAGCTACATGTTCTGATGCATTTATTTGTTTAAGGAGTCGGAAACTCAGTATGGCAAAGCAAGTTCCATCACTGATTTGACATCACCAGATTAAACAGACTTTCCCTGGCAAGGCGGGCAAAGGCTCTGGAAAGCTGCTGCCCGGCAGAGTAGCTAGACCAAACAATCATCATGTAATCATATGCTTTATCTAGGGAACTGTTTAAAGACAGGGCCACAGTCCTGCTCCTTTTCATGCACAAGTCCCAGTCCTTGGGTTCTCCAGAAAGGGCTAGGAAAGGGCCCTCGCTGGAACCCTGGAGAAATCCTACTGTCAGCAATGTCGGCTGTACTAACCTAGATGCACCCGTGGTTGACACAGGATATGGCAGTTTCCTAAGCTCCTGTTACAGGTGCAGAAGGGTGGACTGAACATCTGAAAAGCCAGCATGGCATAGAGGTTAGAGTGCCAGACTGGGACCTGGGAGATGTGGGTTCCAGTCCTCATTTGCCCGTGAAACTCACTGGGTGACATTGGACCAGTCACAGACTCTTGGTCAAATGTTGTCATTAGAAGAATAGAGAGAAGATGGTGTAAACTACCTTGGGTTCCTCATAGGAAAAAGGCAGGGTGTATATATAATAAATATATGAAGGAGGTAGGCTTGAAAATGAATGCCTTCTTGAATATTTGTGACCCATCATGAGTCCTAAGAATTTAAGAGCTGTGCTGGATCAGGCCAAGGGTGCCCAATGGCCAACCAGTTGCCCTTGGGAGGTCCACCAGCATAGCATGGGGAAGACATGTCCTGCTCTTCTTCCCCATCAACTGCAACTGAGAAGTTTCTAATCCTGGAAGTAAAATATAACTGTGGCCATCAGAACTAGTAGCCATTTGGGGACATCTCCATGGCCCCTTTTAGAGTTGTCCAAATTGGTGGCCATCACTCCTGATCTAGGCCTGTTTTGGATCTTGATTGGACTTATAATGGGACTCACCTTCAGTCTCAACTTCCAGCCTGTAGCCTGTCTCCTTCTCCCAAGGAGAGGAGAAGAAAAACTACAACTCTGTTGAAAAGAGGGTCTTGGAACTGGGTATTTCTCTCACAACATAGCCAGGTTGGCTAGCCAAGATGCCGAGGTTGAAATTGAACTTCTGAGATTGCTCAGAAATGTCATTTCCTGTAAGAACCATTGTAAGTAAGGCTCTTGAAGACTGCTGTCCTTGAGCACCTTGCAAGAAATGAATGTTCTGAATATGCACAAATGCATCATTTGAAGTTTGGCATCTGGGCGGGTATGACAGAAACCTGTCGGACTTGAGACTGCCTTTTCACCACTTGTTATCCTGAAATGAAAGGCATTCAATGAAAGGCATGTGATTGGAGTGCTTTCTGCTTTGCTCTTACCTTCGTTTGTTTTGGGGAACATCCTTGAAGGGCTGATTCTTCCTCTCCCTCTTCCTTTCTTTTCTCTCCCCCACCCCCTTTCTTTTTTGCAAATACTCAGAATGTATGCTTGCTGAAATCTCAGTACTTTTAGTGGAGACCCAGGAGAATTTGTCCATTCTCAGATTTCCTTACCCCAGAAAAAAAGGAGAAAGGGGCCATGGGGAGAAAACAATTTAAACTAGGCCCTGGGATTGGAGGTGTGCTTGAGCATAGTTCTCCAAAATGGTTACTTGTCTGTTTCGTAAAGCCAAGGTAGCTCTAGGAAAATGAGAGATGTTTATTTTTTAGAATATGTGTTTTCCTTTGGGCCATCAAAGTAAGAGAAGTGACCAGAGTAGTTTTATTAGGACCACTTGGCCTCGTAGTCTGAACAAGACTGTTTGCTAGACTTCTTTAGTATCGAGCAGAGTTTGGGAACATCCATAGTATGTCATGCATTTCAGTGTTTCTTTGCTCACACCTTACAGTTCTTCACTCCGTACCCACCTACCCATTGTGATAAGTGACATCGTTTATGCATAGCGCTCTGCAAATAGTTGAATCTAGACAGTGGTATTGGGGGTCTTCAGGAAATCTGGAAGTTGGTTATTAGGGATTTTCACACTGGAAACTGCACTTTGCCATGGAAAGTTCATGGCTGTCACCTCAGCCTCCAATGATGCAAAGCACTTTTTAAAAGATGGCTTGGAATTGGATCATCTAATGACTTGATTTTTTTTTCTCTGTTAAGACAGGAAAAGCAGGAGTGAGAGATAGCTAATGCCGTTGGGCATTTCTCTTTTATCTTGCGATTCTGGTTGCCTGTGGCTGTTCAGTAGCTTTACAGCTCTTACCTCTCGGTCAGGTTTATGCAGAATTGAATGCTTTTGTGTTCAGTGGGGCTTACTCCAAGTGAAGTGTGCAAAGGATTGCTGTCTAGCAGCATGGTCCTATATTTGCCTACTCAGAAGGGAGAACCATTGAGATTGGGTGGGCTTACTTCCTAGTAAGCAGGTACAGAACTGCAGGAATCTTCAGGCCCACTTATGCTAGTAATGATGCCCTGTTTAAGGCTCCATACTTTAACCTTACATGGAATATTCTATTGGGGTTCACCATTTATTTAAAAAATAGGACTGCGATTGGTCCAAGCTTGTACAGTCATCCTTTGATTATGCAGTCTCTTCATTACTGACATCAATGACCTGCCACAGGTTGACATAAGACTTGCCTGCAGCATTGACACATGTTGGAACACAATTCCAGTCATCCCCTGTCATGAAGGATGAGGATGATGAGAGCTGTACCCAACTTGCTGGATGGTGCCCAGTTAAGGAAGCTTGGTTGATCCACTCTGTTGCAGTCTCTTCTCAACACTGGTGGTTCTCTTAAGGTCCTTCAAGCCAGCGGAAGGTGGTGTGTTTCAACTGCAGGTGTTTGCTTACTTTGCGTATTTATTGCACTTACATCCTGCCTCCCCTTCAAGCTGGCAGAGTGAGCATGTACATGGTACAACAGCAACATATATAAGGTGCAGAATTCGTGCCTCAAGATGGTGCTTCTTGTTATGCAAGTACGTTTCGCATCACGGCGGCTGTAGCAAACAACACCTTATGTCGGTAGTCTTGATGGTGCTATGATTGAAGTGAGTTTACATGTGCAACTGCATGTGTGTTGCATATTTCATTTCCCATCAAGGGAATAATCAGGGTATTTCTTTAGTGCAATGTATCAGAAATACTTGAAGCAGCTCTGATGCATGGCCTAGGGACTAGGGTCAGAGGGAGAAGAGAAGTGGTTTTGTGTGCTTTGCAGCTAAGGAAGGCATTCGGTGGCCAGGTGTCTTCTTTTATGGAGGACACTCCTGTGTCTGAAGGGCAGCCAGAGGACTGGCTTCTGTTTCAAAGAAGTGCTCTTTTGTGAGGGCAGTCTGCCACACGTCCAGTCTGAAGATAAAGAGACATGAGAAAGAAAAGCATTGGACTATGAGGTTGCCCATAAGGTATCCAGCTCTCCTGAGATTCACTATACATTATTGTAAGAATTTCTAAATTTTGTATCTGTTCATATCAATGAGCATTTTTATACAAATAGGTGTTCTCTGTTTTGGTGATGCATGTCCTCTTTTTTTTTGCAATCCACAAGCACCCACACTATTCATATTTGTGGAGATCCCCGTTAGGCCATTAAGTTCAGGGGCTAAAATTGCCTACATTATCTGCACCACTGAGCCAGACTTGTCTGATCAGCCCTTCCAGTAGAGAATTGCCCTTTGTAAAGTAGGACACCTGGCCACTCTGTGCTGTGCTGGAATGGGATGGTGCAACATGGTGTCCTCCAACAGCAGGGGGCTGGACTTGATGGCCTTCATGGGCATCTTCCAACTCTACTCTTCTATGATTCTATGATTTGTTGTTTCAGCCATCATGAGGATATTAACCCAAGACCACCCTAGAGGGGGAGAGCATGATACTATCTCCAGCTTAGTCTTGTTTCTTAGGAAGCTACTTTATACTATGGCAGGCAACCATCTACCTAACCAGTCTTCTCCGAGAGCCAGGCAGGACATGATGGTCCAAGGAACACACCTTCTT